CCCATCCCCCACCTACCCCCACCCCACTAATCACTGCTCCACCTGACCCCAGCATCCTGGCAATTAAAAAAGCCCCGCACTCACCAGCAGTAGCATCTGCCACCAGGGTCACTGGGGCCTCCTGGAAAAGCCCACCTGCACAGCACAGGGCAGCAGGGACCCGTCCCAGCCACCTGGCACCCGCGCTGCCACTGTCCCATTGCATGGGTGCAGCCAGGGTCGGCAGGGCACTGCACGGCTCCACACACCCCCAGGCAGCTGGGGCAGCTCAGTTAGAGCAGTGCTGGACCCTGGGTGACAGACACAGCTGCCTCAGCTGCCCGACAGTGTGCAGAGACATGCGGCACCCTGCTGACTCTAGCTCTAGCTTCCCCTGGCTGCAGATCTGGGAGGAGCCAGGCAGGGTTATTTTGCCCAAAGTGGCACAACTTGCACCACACCAAAGTGCATGTCCGGGCATGTGCGCTGAGGCAAAAAGCCCCAGCTCAAATTTGTACCACTTCTGTTTGAGCTGCTGCAGGCTCACGTGCCTGCATGTGTGGATCCGCTCTAAAAGTGCAAAGTTTCATGAAGTTAAATGAATAGAGGACAACAAACAACAAGAATCTACTTTTTTTTTTTTTTTTATAAAGAAAACAATGATTAAATTGAGGTTTCCTGACCAGTGATTTTAATTGTGGTTTAAATCAATTTGATTTAAATCAAATCCTCCCTGAAAAAATGTCAGCCTAAAAACTAACTGTGCAAATTAGAAGGTGAAAAGAATTTTGAATGGCATGGCTCCTGCAACCTTGAGTGTAGTCTCATTTCCATGATCCCATAATACTACCAAAGTGTAGGACCAATAAGTGACCTTGAGCAAGATAATATAGTAGTGTTCTGTATAAAGAAAGTAGGAAGGCTTAGCAGAAAAACTCAAACACTTGCCAGAAGTCAGGAGATATGCAGCAGCTCCACCAATTTTACAAGTTTAGGAAAGAAAACATCTTCAAACAACATTATTCTAATGTACTTCCCCACATTTACATGCCTGTAAGGTTAGACTCTCTCAGGATATCTCAGAAGCTCACAATAGATTTATCTGAAAACACACAGGTGATATAACTATGCTTTATTATCCTTGTTTTACAGAGGGTATACCAGAACATTAAAAGGTAAAATGATTTGCCTTTAGTGACACTGAATTTATAGCAGAACAGGGGACAGAACCCAACATTTCTGAGCCCCTTTTAGGACCATAACCACAAATCTCTTGTGCTCCTGTAGAGCTTACAATGTAAGCACTGGATAAGGAAAAGAGCCTAAAACATTAGCAGAAAAAGGTCACAAATACTGTTCACGTCTGTTACCTGGCAGAGGAAATCAGTTCAAGAGCTCCATTAAAAACATAACAGAACTCAGCAGGGTAATTTTAGCACTTATTCCTGCAAGCTCAATACAAGAGAGTTATTCTACAAGTGAGCAACTCTACTGTATCTCAACCAATAGGGCCATACATATGCATGAAATTAGGCACTTGTTTCAGCATTCACAGGACTAAAACCAATGTCTAAGGCAAGCCTCTCTCATACCATTTGTACTTACCCCACCTTACCTTGTCCACATCACCAAGGATCTTACGTTAACTCTTGCCTCTAGCACATTATGCCAAAACTGCTTTGCAATTGTTCCCCTATTTTCTTTTACTTAACTGTTTATTAACCACTAGAGACCACCTAAACCTTTGTAACTGCCTAACTGGACTCTGTAAGTAAAATTCAGTTGAACTGGAATAGGAGAAAAAGTACAACATATATTAAATGGAATTAGATGGTGATTTAAACAGGTATTTTAGGCTAATCAAGAAGGCAAAATCTTGGATATATACTTAACTTTATGAAAAGAGATCCCAGTGAAGTCAATAAAATGACTTGCACTGCATAAAATACACCTTTGAGATTAAGTGGGACTATTATTTTTCACACTGTGGTAGTGAGTAGGAGCCCCAGTCATGGACCAGGATGTGCTGGAATTAGACTCTGTGCACACAAATATGGTCCACGGTCCACAGAGTTCACAATTTAGGACAAGACCTAAAACACTAGGGATAATCAGCCAGCAATAGGTACAAAGTAGTGACAGAGAACATTACCTGGCAGAGGGAATCAGATTGAGAGCTCCATTAAGGACATAACTGAACTCTGCATGTTCCTGTGCCACAAGTGCCACAAGGCTCTCACAGCATGCTGTCCACACAGTCACATTCTCACTGCAGCATTTCTCCCAAAGCAAGTTTAATGCAGGAGTCTGAAATCCAAAGCACAAGGACCAAGAATTAGTGTAGAGACAGAATTTCAGTACCGGTCATTTTGAGCATTCTCTTATACAAAAATATTGTGTTCTGTATCTGCTTCCAGATAGGGCTGCTGCTGTTTAAAGCAACAAAAGGATAAAACTAGAAATCAAGTTCTTTGCACTCCATAGTAACCACAGAGAAAAACAGAAATCAAATCCCAGTTGCCTAAGTAAGCCACCAACATAATTCAGTTCTCGTTGGGATTTTTAAGTTTCTGTAGCTTTAACAAAGAGGAAAAGGTTAGAACTCAAACCAGCACTGGCATTCAGTATTTAAAGAGTCCTCAGTCTTTATTATTACTAAAATTTTAGATCACTAACTCTGGAGGTTTTTTCAGAAACCTCTATAATGTACTTTGGTACTGGTCCTGTTTGTTTACAAGAGCTGCTAAGAAAATGATACAAAAATCTGTTCAAAATTTCAATGCATCATTTCCCACAAATAAAACGTCCAGTTAAAAAAACTTCAAGTATTTAAGCAGTAGAGTTGGCTGAACTTTTCCAACCTGCATCTGCCCACTGGAAAAGGAGAAGTAGTCAATCACATTTACTTTCTACTAGGTTTAATTATGCTCAACAGTGAGGCAAAATTTGACCTGTGTTCTGTTACAAATTTTTACTTTATCCAAGGTATGAATATTTTATATAACAATGACAATAATTCCTATTTTACAGTGAAGCAGTTGCAAGATTCATTTGACCTTAATTCCATATAAAGAGCATTTTTTGCTTTTAAAAATAAAGGAACCTAATCCAAACTTCACTGGCTTTACTGTGTTTTGGATCAGGCTCACATTTAATTTCAATGCTACATTTCTGTTATGAAGTTTATGTTTGTTCATCTTGACAATATGTGAATGAAGGTACCAGGAAAACTAACAAATCAACGTTCTAAAATTTTTACACAAAAAGAACACAAAGCATGTCGAGTGAAACTACTACATAACTGTTGATTTACTGCTAGACCAAAACATGCCACCCTGTTTCAATTCAATCTCTCATATGTGTGTTTGTGTTTTTGGGCGGGGGCGGGGGGAGGCTGGGAAATTTCATCCATATAGGATGCTTAAACTATCCTCCTCAGTATTACAGGAGTTTTAGTTTCAGGTCCTAAATACTTTCAAGCGTTGCTTACATCTAAACTCAGTCCTTCCTGAAGCCGAGATCAATAAACTTACACCAGTGACCAGTCTATAATAGGTAGGAAATATAAATCGAGATGTTTTAGAAGCAACTGAGTTGAAGTGATTAAGATGCATATCTTCAATTGAAATTAAAACATAGGTGTCTAAATCCAGTTGACTGAAAAAAAAAGAAAAAAGAAATCATAGCTTATGCCCCTTGGGAAAGGTGTTTATTTTGATTTTAAAAATAAAATATAAGATCTTGCAAACAAAACTTCTTTTCCCTCCTATACAGGAGTTTGATTTTTTTCCCATTAGAACTTAACTGCCTACAATAAAACATTTTATAGATGACAAAAGCACTAATAAGAACATTTCACTGAGGAAATAAAACTCTATGGAGGCTCTGGTCCAGAGAAGTACTCCTCTTCTCCATTAGACCCTAATTTAACAAGACTGCATGATTTTAAATACACATACATCTCCAGTAACTATTTGTACGCTTAATATTATACACGGCTGAAGGAACTTCCTGAAACAGGGCCTCAGACAAGTCATTTTCTTTCCAGTTGTTAAACTTCTGGAGTTTTGTTTGCTCTGTCTTACTACTCATTTAACTAAAAAGTGTTGCAATAGTTTAAAAACCGCACAAGAATATGCTTGATATTTTAAAAGGAATTTAAAAAACCTCTAAACACCACTTTAAAAAGATCTTTCAGGTTTCTTTTTTTGCTTGGTTAAATACACTGGGGAAGTGCAGAGGTGACCCCAACCAGATTTCTTCCCCATTTTACAGATCACCTTTTAAAGAATTAAATGAAAAAAAAAGAAATGCCTACTGCTGCTCTGTGTCATTCACCAAGGCTAGCAATTTATACTCATCTCAATTAACAATGCTTGGACAAACTGAAAAAGTAAATTAAAGCTTCAAGCTGCACTGGCTTGTAAGGAAACATGAACCCCAATTTGCTGATGTAAAAAGGAAATATTTTGTAACAGAGATTTGAAATCTAATTGAAATCCAAGTCCTATTTTAACTGTGAGAGCTAACTTGAAAGATGTTTATATGTAGAACAGCAATGATTGTTGCAGGATCATAATGTGCTGGTGATCTGCTTGAACAACTAGTTTACTAGCATTAATTTAGTAGTGCTGGAGTGATGTTATAGCCGTGATGGTCCAGGAATCATCTGAGAAGCAAAGATTTTGATAGGACTTGATCTCTCATTAATCAAGGTTCTGTATGCTGCTCCTGGGAATCTCTCTCTCCTCCACTTTCACAGCCTTAAACACTCTTCTTAATCATCCCTGTGCCTGCTTCTTCGCTCAAACCTGATGAGGAATGCCTTGCATTCAAAAGCTTGTCTAATCTTACCCCTACCATGCAGATGGCCCAATAAAAAAAAATATTACCCACAAATATCCTTGTCTTTGGCATTAGTTTGCCATGTTGAGGAATCCCTATCTGCTACAATATAAATCTTAAAAAACAAAAAAAAAAAAAAAAAAAAAACACATTAGCTGGAATCTGACAGACAGTAAACTAACAGACATTCTGCAGTCTGTTACTTATTAGCCATTTGGTCTCTACATGGGAAAATAAATTTATCTTCTGATTATAGATTTCCAATTTCTGATTGTATTCTCAGAAACATGTTGCAGGGTACCTTATTCAGCACTGGTAATTTTATTAAAAGTGGAACATAAGATATAGAGACTTCAGAAGAAGCTTAAAATCCAATGCAAGAGAGAAAAACTGGAAGCAAAGTAATACAGACCTGGTTAGACGACTGATTGATCTTGGCTGATGAAACTTTTTCTCTTAGTACTGCAGCAATTAGATGACCCACTCCCTATAAAATACAATAGAACCAATTAATAGAGGTGGTAAAAACTGATCATTTCACACGCAGAAAGAAACGAAGTCAAGCTGCATCTGCATCAAGAGGATGGCCAAATAGTTTGTTAATGCAACATCTGGACACCAACAGGAGCCAAATAATTTGAGCACTGAAGCATCTTCTAGAACCAACAATCTCTTGCCTGCAGCCATAATACTTGCTATCTTACAGAGTAAGAAGGGCTCCACATATACACAAGTGTCTGCACAACTGAAACAACCTGCAAAATTAGGGCCTTAACCCATAAGCAGTTACTTTAACATACTGGTTCTAATAAATATTTGCAAAAGTGGAGAAACTGAGGGAGGAAATTTGCAAAATTTAGATCCAGGACTATGCTCTTAGGCCAACACAGCTAAAACCAAAAACCCAGACCCAGGACTGAGATGTTCATTCTGGTTTAAAGGAAGATGCATCTCAGTACAAGGACTTCATTTAAAATTTCTACCCCAGCTTAGATTTTAAACAGCCTAAAAGATGTATGAGGTGTTTTGATTCAGAGTTTTGTTTCTTGGCTCACCTTGCTCTCTCTCTCATATTTATGCATTGTTATCTTCAAACAAAAAAATCCTGTATAAGAGGCAAATCCTCTCACAATAAAAATATGGGGGCTGGACTCGATGATCTTCCGAGGTCCCTTCCAGCCCTAATGTCTAATGTCTATGAAATGATGGTACTTAGGAACATGGCTATATTCAAAAGAAAAACCAAATGTACTCATTACTGGCTAAGTTAGCTCTTTAACATCAAGAGAGCTTAGTGTAAGACAAGAGTGTGAAAGCTCAATACATTTCATTAAGATGTACAGACATATGGAGAACAGCATAAATTATTTAAACCTTTCCAGGTTCCTTCTTTTATAAACTAATTACAACTTCCTCTAGATTACAGCTCACTGGAACTAAATTAAATTTAACATAACATAAATACTTTGTCAAATTGGAAACAATCCACGCAATCCAAAATGACAAGAATTCAGACATTTTATTAAAAAAATAACAATTATGCAAAATGTCTTATTAGTGTACAACTCAAGAAAGATAATGGGACAGAGTCAGATATTTATCTTAGGGGTTTCTATAACCATTTCCCAGGCAAATTAGATCTACATGGTACAGCCTTAGTGGACCTAAATTAACTTTCTTCCCTTTCTTTTCCTGACTGTAAGGACCCCATTTCAGACAGATGTACACTCCCATCCCTGCAACTATTCATTTGGGTGGGAAACGTTCATTAAAATAGCAGGGTACTACTCTATAAAATGACCCAGACGCTGGCTGCAATCTCTTCTATTCTAACCTCATTTCACCAGCAAAACCTTCTGACCAAGAACACTGTACCTACGGCTCTCACACTCTTTACATTGGGTATTCTGTTTGGGGCATCATAAATAAATTTGACAATTTTTGCAGTTGGATTTTGCCACTGATGCCTCTGAAGAGCAGGGTGAGTCCTTGAACAGAAGCAAAGCAAGAGTTAGTGGAGCTACTAGAGCACAGCACAAACACAGCAATGGAAGCCCTCAAGGCTGACCATTCATGCCAGTGGACTGAGTGGGAGAAGACACATTTCAGTGTTATTTGAGAGTGGCTCTCTTTCAATTAATGAAAACGGCTACTGGTTCAAAGTGATTCAAACCATCAGGGTTTTGTTTGATTACTCTTAAAACATAAATGATCTGGTCCCATTTGTGGTAAAAAAACAAAACCCCACCCTCCTTCCCCCTCCAGCTTGATAGAAATGCTCCATCTTTTCCTGCCAAATGTGGATTTGGCCACTGAGACCTAGGTCTATCTTTTCCACACTGGATTAGCTTTTCCACATTTCCATAGCTGAGGTTAACATGGAAGCAATGCACAGGTTAAGCAAATGATGTTCACAATGAACCATGGTGTTGCACAGGCAGATTGCCATAAGAACGGCACTGAATTAAAGAGGATTTTCATGACATTTCAGTTCTTAAGGCAAATTAAGAAATTGCTGCAGTAGGTAGGCAAGACAGGGAGAGATGGAGAAAAGGGGAAGTTGGTCATAGGATTAAATGCCTGTACAGCAGAAGAACTCAATGGACTTTTAAATCATTTTAGGCATCTCTCTTTTCTCTATGACCAATTAAAAATAATGGTGGTAGAAATATGTTATGTAAATAAAGAAACTGTTCACTACTGGGAGTGAGTTCATGGTTTTGATATGATGAAAGAGACCTGATAGATGCAGCTGTTTGTCATCAACTCTCACCTAGCAGGAAGGACAGGGATCTTTTATAGGTGAACTTCAAGAACTAGAAGTTGTATCGCTTTGAGTTGAACCCTCTCAGATCTGTGTTCACAGGGTGGCAATAGATGATTTAGTGCCTGCTGGCTTAATTTAATGTTTTCTCTCTTAGAGAGTTCCTGCTATTTTTATTTGTAGAATGGTGGGCGATGGTGCCCAACGGTTCAGTTAGCGGCAAGTTGAATAACCAATATTCACTACTTAAGAAAACTCTGCTAGCTGTAATGCCATCTATGACTATGGGGAAAGTGAGGGAAAACATTCTTTTGGTCTCCTCTACTGAAGTAGCACAGTAGGTCTTTGGGCCAAATGTTTGTTTGACAAAGGAGAATTACCTGTGTCTGAATGAGCGTGTTAGGAAATTCAAATCGCTTCTTGATATCTTCTGACATTTTTACGTCTTTCAAATGCTACTAATTCAAGTCCTGCAACAAAGATTAGGAAAAAACACAAACATGTTGTTTAGTGCAAACTAAGAAGGTATATGTGATAGGGCAAGGGAACAAGCTTATTCGCACCCTCCCCCTTACCGGAGTGAACACGTTGACCTGCTAGTGTGCAGACTCACTGCCCGAGCTGGCAAAGATCAGGTCTTTTGCCCCTCTGCAGCAGAGGGCAGGGGGTGAGGCCAGTACTCCCACCCCTGCCTGAGCACGGCCTGAGTCAACCCAGAGTGGAGGTTGTCCTTTTCTGGGGCAAAAAGCGAACCAGTCCATCCTTATAACCAGCTCCACTGGAAAGTGGAGGAGGAGCCCTGCTAATAGCACCAGGAAAGCCCTGTGCAGGACACTGGGAAAACCAGGGAGTTCTGGCTCCACTGAAAGCTTTCCCCAGTGAGCAGGTTCCCCTTCAACTGCAGGAGCCAGAAACAGACACACTGGAAGTACCCGACCCTGGCCAGCTGGAGCACCACAAAGGCAGCTCAAAGACTGGGACACGAGTGAGAGTGAGGAACCCTGGATGAGAAGCTGAGTGAACACCGAGAACTGGTGAGGCAACCCGAGCAGGAAGACTAGGATTGAGTACATAAGAAAGCACTCTGACTCCAGCCTGGAGATTGCATGCAGTCTGAAGCACTCCCAGCCTGACACAGGGCCCAAGGACTGACCAAACAACTTGGAGGTTTGTGGAGGGAGTGTATGGGTGGAGGAGCCCCCAATAGGCCCTGTGGTCCTCAATCAGGATGGTGTCCATTGGTAGCGGAGACGGGGCCACCTCCTGTGGGCTATCATGCCCAAAGAGGGAGGATACATCAACATCAGACTGGGCATCATAAAGACAGTGGTGCCGCACTTATATAACAGCAGCGGCTATATGCATTAAAATGGACCAGGCTGGCCAGCACTACCACCCCGGCAGAGCAGTAGGGCCCCAGTGGAAGAATTCTAAAATTTAACATGAAGTCATGGTGGGCAAGTCTGGAAGTAGGGCCAGAACTTCCTGCCGGAGTTCACTAACAGGTAATCAGCTGGGTGCAGCCATAACCTGTTACAGAAAATTACATACCAGAAAAATGCAGTACTGAAGATTTATTACGATACACTTGAAGAACAAAATCTAAGCCTACAAGCACTGACCAAATATATGGTCATCCTGCACATGAGTAAAAAGCACCCCCCTCACCCCAAAAAAGTTAAATGATTGTCCCAAATTCTTATGAAGATCTTGAATAACCAGCAGAGGCAATTTCCTGCATAAACAACTTGCCTACAAAACAACCATTTGCAAACTTAACCTTGATGGATCATACTTCATTACCCAAAGTATTTGCATGTTGCAAAATCCCTATGAGCCCAATTCTGAGATGCCAAATACTTACCACTTTTGCACAGGAAAAAAAGAACTTGGGCCAGGTACTACCCCCTCCTGTCCCCAAGGATAGGGACAAACATTACACATAAACCAGTTTAAGTGATCAGAAACTGGTTTAAACCTGTAACAGAACAGACATTCAGTGTACATAAACCAGTTTGAAAATGGCTGAAACCGGTTTGAGATAAACTGGGTTGAATGTAGTATCAGACAACTGATTTGGGTCAAACCGGTATGGAACGTCTGCCCCAGACCCCTTCCTGGTTTAATTTAAACCAGACTCCCCCATCCTGGCATGCTCTCTCTGCTCCAAAGAGCTGAGCTGGCCCCTCCCCTCTACTCCCTTGCTGGAGCTCTGGCAAAGATTTCCAGGCACAGAGCCTGGCTTCCTCCTGGTACTCCTCCCACACCCACTTCTCAAGCAGGAATCCCTCCCTCCTCCCTCCCACAGCACAGACAGTAGCCAGCATGTGGTATGCTAGCTAATGCTGAGAGGTGTCTGTGTAAGGCAGACAGGACAGTATATTTAGGGCTTTTTGGAGCTAATCTATAGGCAGCTGGCAATGTCCCTCCTTAGAATGTTTCCTTCCTTGCAAAAAGTTGTTTAAGAGCTTGAACTAATGAGCGGCTTTTCCTGATGGGGTGTAAAATGCTGATAACAGAGATGATAAATGCTCTGTTATTAAGGGGGGGGGGGGGGGGGCCCCCCCCCCCCCCCCAGGGGGGGGAGGGACCCTCCCACCCTCCCTAATCAGAGCACCTTGCTAGGGCCTGGCCCCTCAGCTCAGCACCATAGAATGGAAGAGAGGGCTGCTCTAGCACACCTCCTCCCCCCACTTCTAGCCTGAGCCACTGCAGACACATGCCTAAATTTCCTCAGTCCAAAGGAGATGTCTGTACAGTTACAAACTGGTTTAGCCTACCCAGGTTAGATTAACCTGCAAAGATTGAATTAATTCAGGCTCACACTTTTTGAATATCTGTCCCTAGCCCCAATGTTGGGATTGGGTCCTGGGGGCCCAGCAACACCCCCTCCCAACCTCCTGTGTTTCAGGACTCCACCAGAAAGACTGGCTCAAGACCATGTGGAGGCATCCGAGGTCAGAGCACTGGCACCTCTTGGGCTACATCATCTGAGGTAGAGACCTGAGGGACGTGCTCGCCACAAGGGCCATGAAGGGGTCTAAAGACTGCTGGATGGATCACCGACTTGTGTGCTCGGTGATGAACACCCACCTGGTGCCAAGACACCGGAAGACCCAGAAGGCCGCCCGGAGATGGCTGAACATCGCAGCTCTGAAGGACTCAAGATAGTGGGAGGAGTTCCAGGGCCAGTTGCATGGTGCACTGGAGCACATCCCTACCAATGATGACATCTCCATCCAGGCACACTGGGAGCAACTCAAGTCCGCTGTTCAAGACGCTTGCGCCCAGACTATTGGGTTCACATCACAACGGAACCAGGACTGGTTTAATGACAATGACACTCAGATTCACAATCTCCTCGAGCAGAAGCATGCAGCCTTCATCACCTGGCAAAGCCATCCACCACCTGGCAAAGAAATCCACGAACTCAGCAAAAGATAAGCATTGTACCACCAGCTGAAGGCTGAGGTCCAACAATGCATCCGTGACATAAAGAACAACTGGTGGGTGGAGAAGGTGTGCACGATCCAGGGCTATGCCAACCAGCATGACATGCGTAACTTCTTCCAGGCTACCAAGACAACCTTTGGACCCCGCTCCATTGTATAAAAACCCCCTCTGATCATGCTCCCAGCTCCTCAAGGATGATGATGCCACCTGTCTGTGCTGGAAGGAGCATTCTGAACCGGGAGTCCACTATATCAGAAGAGACCCTGCAAGCCATCCCGCAACACCCTGTAGTGGATTCCCTCAGTGATCCACCAAACAGAGAGCTGAAGTACGCCATCCAACAGATGAAAACCAACAAAGCCTGCGGGCCAGGTGGTATACCCGCAGAGGTCTACCATGCAGGCGGCTTCCAGCTCACATCACAACTCCACCAGCTTATCCTCTGCCTTTCGGATGATGAAGACATCCCCGGGGATCTCAAGAACATGACCACTGTGACCATCTACAAGAAGGGGGACAAATCTGACTGTGGGAACTACAGGCGTATTTCCCTCCTGTCCATTGCAGATGAGATCCTAGCCCGCATCTTCTTGAACTGCCTTCATCCCATCACTGAAAAGATCCCTCCGGAAACCCAGGGCAGCTTCTGACCATCCCAGGGCACTGTGGACATGGTTTTCGTTGCCAGGCAGATCCAAGAAAAATGTTGGGAGCAAAATCAAGAACTGTTCCTCGCCTTCACTGACCTGACCAAGGTGTTGGATTCCTTAAAACATGAAGCTCTATGGATCATCCTCCAATGCCTTGACTGCCCACTGAAGTCTGTCACTCCTACATGGCAATATGAATGCCACTGTCCTGAGTGGAGATCTGAAACCAACACCTTCCACATTCGGACCAGGGTCAAACAAGGTTACGTGATCGCCCCCACCCTGTTCACCATCTATCTGATTGTCATCATCCACCTCATCCGGCATGATCTACCATCTGGTGTCAGTATCCAGTATCAACTGGGCAGGAAGCTTTTCAATCTTGGGTGCTTCCGGGCAAAAATGAAATTCACCACCAAGGACATCCATGACCTTCAGTTTGCAGATGACTGCTGTGTGATGGATCACTGTACAGGATGTGCAAGCGACCCTAGATCTCTTCAATGCTTTGTATAAGAGACTTGGCCTGTCCTTGAATGTTGCCAAGACAAAGGTTCTCCACCAACCCTCCCTGGGCCAGGTGAACATCCCTCACACTATCTACATAGACAAGGAGGTTCTGGAGTACGTGGAGCATTTTCCGTATCTCAGCGGCCACCTCTCTCAATGGACTACTATCAATGAAGAATTCCAGCACCGGGTCAACTTCACCAGTGCCGCCTTCTTCAAGCTGCGACAATATGTCTTTGAAAATAGAGATCTGCGGAAGTTTATGAAGGTCCTGGTTTATAAGACCGTCACACTAACCACCCTCATCTACTGCTGTAAAGCCTGGACCACGTACCGACATCACATTAAGACCCTTGAGAGCTTTCACCAGCAGTGCTTGTGTCAAATCCTAGGAATCAAATGGGAGGACCGCGGGGCCAGCACAAGTGTCCTCCATGAAGCTGCGTCCATCAGCATTGAAGCCTTGCTCTTGAGAAATCAACTCCAATGGACAGGCCGCTGCATCCAAATGTCCGAGAACCACCTCCCTCACCAGATTCTCTTTTCTCAGCTCTCTGTTGGCCAACACTCAAAGGAAAGCCAAAGGAAACAGTACAAGGACATGCTCAAGGTTGTCCTCAAGCACGGAGGCATCCACAACAATGGCTGGGAGGAGCAAGCTGCTGACCGTTCGGCGTGGCACCACCTGGTCCACCAAGGCACGGATCACTTTAAGGCCCAATGACTCAATACTGAGGTGGAACGGGAATGGCAGAGAAAGAAGGAGACCAACCTGGGGCTGCAAATCCCACTTCCCCGTGCAAAAAACATGCCCCCACTGCTGAAGGTGTACATCCAGAATCAGGCTCCTCTGTCAC